GCTTTGCATCAGTGATCCAGCACTGATCACTATGCTCTAATGTCAGAGAATCTGAATCAAGATCCTTTTCTGATGTCAACATCTCTATTAAAATAATAAAGTTCTGATAACTCAGTGCAGCTGTCTTTGATAAATATGTAACAGGACTACTAGTGACAGTATTACTCTATATTTTTACAATTCACAGAGACTATTTAGAATATTTTTGAGAAGTGAAATACTTTTTCCCCCATTACTTAACAGATTTCTGGCTATCCTATCAATTGAGTCTTTTCCCCTTTCTCTCAAATGTTTTTCCAGTTTGCCTGGAATGCAAATGGATCCTGTGAGGTTAAAAATAAAGGATGAGCAAGTGGGAAGGCACATCAAACTCTTCACCAATAAAACAGAGAGAGAGAGAGAGACTGAAAATGAAGGTTGGTTCAGACTAGAAATTGTACATGAAATGATTACAAACTGCTGACATATATCCTGGGGCTTGTGGATACCACAGTGCGAGCATGTGTTGTCATTAGGTTGTCAGGACTTTCTAAAATATATATATATACTGCCATAAAAAATTCAGCATTCTTTCCTAAAACTTGTGAGATTAAATACTCTACGTGTCGATGTAAAGGCTCATTACTCATGTTAATATACAAAAGAAACCCAGCATTTCTAGGCGTGGGTTGATGCCACCTTGACACACAGCTTTGGAGTGATTCAGATGAACTGCAGCTGCAAGAGCTCAGAGCTGATTCCCTCATGGCATCTTTCAACACCAGATGGCACACGACTAAACTTAGCTGCCTGAAAGAAGGAAGGCAATTAAATGTCTAAACATACATACAGAGAACCATTTTAGATGTCCAAAAGACCTGAGATACCCACATGAGCTGGCATGTATCACACAAGATCTGTGGGAGTTCTGTGAAATGTCATATTGGGACAGGCAGGATACCCTAGGATTTCTAAAATACTAGTGGATATTTAACTTGAAGCACTTGAAATATTCAGTATAGAAGGCACTCAGTTACCTACAGAAAAACATCCAATGCCGCTTGGGAGTTCCTGGAGAGTATAGGATGCCTTGAGAGAGCAGACATGAGAGAGCAGAGAGCCCAGCCCCAGTGTGAGCCCTGAACTCTCTGGAGCAGCAGCAGATCCAGACCAGGTGAGACTCCTTGCGATATCTGAAGGGTTTTTCATAAAACTGAATCCTGCTTTGTGCAGCCAGGTGTGGGCTAAATGTCTGTAGGTTGAGTCCCTGTTAAGATGTACTTAATGTCATGTTGTGTTTGTAGAACTGTTGCATGTTCAGCAAGTCTGCCTGACAATGTGCATCCACCCCTGCCAGAATCACCTCATCCCTTTCAAAGAACATCCTTGTCACTTTATGCAAGCTCTAAGTATCCTGGTTTGTAAGTCAGGTTGCCACTAGTCTTTTGTTCAGACCAGTTGTTAACCTTGAACAACTTCGTTGGTGGTGTATGGAGTGAAAAACTTGCTGGTTTTATACTCCTAAAGCAATTTAATTGTAAAATAAATTGTAAAATAATAATTGTAAAATAGCTGACCTCTCCCACCTCCTCAAGAACATAGTCAATAGCTCTCCTTCAGAAGCAGGGCATGGACATTGCTACTACACATGCCAGAAACTAAACACTGGGCAATCAGTTTAACTCACACAGGTGAAACCTTTCAAAGCCATTAACCTGAGGAAAAGGAAACCCACATTGCCCCAGCCTGCACCCTGGAATAGACTCAAAGACAGCTGTGAGTTCCCCCACGGCTGTGGGAGAGGGAGGTCCTTCCCCCAGTCTCCCACTGTGAAACTTAGAGTGCAGTTTCTGATTCAGAGGCCCATCACCTGATTCTTCTGGGTCATATAGTCTGTTTTTGGAATCCTTTTGGAGATCCTCTTTATTGTACCTAAGCACATGTCCTTTGGTGAAATTTTGTTCAGGTTTTCTATTTTTTCAGACTGCATTGTGTGTGCTCCCCAGCACAACACAAAGCCCAGGGGCTGCCCCAGTGATACTGCAAACATCAAGTACTTATACCCAGTGATGAGATTCCTCCTGAGCCTTCAAGCTGAACAATCCCAGCCTTCTCAGCCTTTCCTCAAATAACAACCTCTCAGTCATCTTCCTCATCCATTGCCGGACTTGCATGTCCAACATACGTCCACGTTTGCTCAGAACTGGACTCAGCACTCCGCACATGACCTCACCTGTGCTAAGCAGAGGGAAGGATCAGCCCACCTGGCTTGCTGGCACCACTCTACCTGGTGCAGACCAGTGCACCCCAAGTAATTGGCCTCGAGCTGGGCTTGGGCTACTCTCTTTGAACCCTTTCTTTCAGTCAGTTTTGGATCCACCTCTCTGTCCATTGATCTAGTGATGTGCCCATCTTGCTGTACAATAAACTGTAGAATAAAATTCCAGGTTTGGCAAATGCTGCAAAATGGTGCTGTTTAAAGAAAGTTGACTTGGTGAATCCATGACAACTATATTTTTAATGGGTTAAAATCAATCTTTGATACAGGTAAAATAATCATGATAGATACAATTCAGTTTTCACTTAGCAGAACTGATGTGGTTTCTTGTGTCTTCTTAGAATGATTTCTTTATACCCAAAAGATAAGAAGCCATTCTAAAAGCAAGGACAGAATTTATTTTTCACATGTAGCTCAGAAGTAGATTTCTTTATTGGTTAGAAAGCATTCATTTCTGTATATGTGCATTGGGAATCTGGTACAAAAGCTATTGCTGAAAAGCATTTAATTCAAGTTCTTAAAGGAGCTTCTTCTTTGAAGTGCTGTTGATACTGACGGAATGTCTAGCAGATGGAATTATTGCTGCATTGCTGGATGCAATACCCATTTCTGGGGTTTAAATCCTACATCTCCAGACTGAAGTGGAAGTGCATCCTGCCATGTGACTGGGAGTGACTGAACCAACATGACTATTATTTCACCAAGGGAAAGAAACAATTCTTTAAAACACAGCAGAAAGAAACAGATAAGTTCTCTATTGTAATGTCCTGATACATGGATACATAGGTATCCATTTAGCATCATGATGCAAAGATATGAATCACACTTCACTGAAAATTTAGCTTTTTAAAAATTTATACAATTTATGCAAAACCCTTGAGATGTATCCTTCCAAAAATGTAAAAAAACCCCTAAGATTTCTTTAAAAGGAATTCATAGTAAAAAGGATGCCTCTTAAGGATCAATCACAGAGTTGGCAAACATGAGAATAAAATTTCATTTCCTTTTCTCTTAAAAAAGAAAAGTAAATAGGGAAGAACTGCCAGCAATCTATCACAATGAGCAAAGTGTATTCAGAGAATTGGATGCCCAGTTAGAGTGACATCAGCCTCTGTAAGAACACAACTGATTCCCAAAACTAGAATGTATTTAAGATTGAGTCCTGTGCCTTTAAAATCCCAGCTACCACAAGACAAATAACTTGATACTGCAAGTTATCTACTCTTGTGCCATCACTATTTCAAAAAAATTTCCTCCTCCATGTTATGTACAGCCATTGCAATTTCAGAATCTCTATCCTCTTTTTAGAAAGTGGCTGCTCTACAGCTGTTTGTTGTTCTGCATTTTGCTTGAGCTTGGTAAACGTATACATATAAGAAAGCAGAACAACATCAACATGAAGATTCAAATTTTGGTTAACTGACAGCTTACCTGTAAGCCATACCATTAATTTGGGATGCCAGTGTTCTGGGATAAGAGATAGCTTGCTTATTGAAAATCTGCAACACATTCTGACTTCATTTTTTGCTAAGTAATGAGTGGTGGGAAACAGAGCAAATAGTGAATAGTTCCTAATTTTTTACCTGATTTATTAAAACATCTAAATCACAGACTGCATATTCTGTTTCGATGTGTCTTTTTACTTTGCAGGGGTTTTTTAAAGCCCTTGTTAAGCCATGGCTTTATCCATGTGATAAAGTGACATCACTGCATGCTCTTTTGGTTTGGCAAATTCTAAATTGAGGGAGAGTCAAGATGACGCTAGGATTGAGCTGAAGGATGTGTGATCTGTAGAACAGATTCCTCTCCAAGGTGTGAAATGAAACACCCTGTTACTCAGACTGTGCCTACAAAAGCTTCCCGAGGCTCACATGAATAGCAGTTTCAGGGCAGCCTGCCTGTGCTCCAGCTCAGAGGGACGCGAGCCAGTCCTGCCCTGAGCCCCAGCCAGACAGCTGAGCTGCAGGCAAGGTACATTAGCTTGGGTTCAGGGCTGTGCCAGCGTGGGGATCCATGGCTCCTGCTTGGGAGTTGTCTGGCATTTGGGTGGAGCTGAGACACAGTGTTGACAGAGCAACGCTGGCATTCCCCAGATCATCTCCCCTGCTGATAACAAAGCCTGCAGCAACCCTTCCTCTTCCCTGGCAGACGTGGGGTTTGGGAGGATGCTGCTGTCAATCACTCTCTTATGAGTAGTGGTAAGGCCTCTACAAGGGAATTACACCAAAATATTATTGAGGACTTCATGAAACAATGCATCTCCCTTGTCCCTCTCCCCACTGTTCCCTCATAAATGTGTTTTTTTTCTTCTATGATACTTTGACACAGCATTCACGTATTTTGGTCCTGACTAATTATTAAGAAGTAACATTTCTCTGCATTTGTACTTGGGATTCTAGGACCTAGCACTGGGACAAACAGTGAGAGAGTTTTGTGCTCTTCTGCACACTGCTGGAATCCCTGCCCTATTTCTCTTTGAGCACATTATTTCCTGAAGCTTGACGAGCTACTACAATCAGCACTTAAAAATAGAAAAAAGACAATTTGAAAAACTTTTTTCTGCATTTAACTGTAGGGGGATAGAATATAAGTAAATAAAGGTAGTATAGAAAGCAATCTTACCCCCTAAAGAGTTGCAGCTGAGTTAGTTATTAAAGATTAGGAGCAGGCCTGACTTTACCAGGCCACAGCTGTAGCCAATAAGAAGAAGAGTGCTATAAAAGAGTGGGTTGGTTCGTTGAGGGGGAACTGAAGTTAGTTGGTTGCTGTGAGAAGAAGGAAGAGTCAGTGCCTAGAGGAGCTGCCTACAAGAAACATTAAGGAGGTATGAAACTCTAGCAATATGGAACCCTTGCAATGTAATGGCAACTTGTAATGTCCTAAAATTTGGTCAAGATGTCACAAAAGGCCCTTCACGTTTCCCTTTTCTTGGAAGTCTAAGACATATATAAAAATCGTAATGCTACAAGCTATGGATGCAGGAAGATGCTGGGCATCCTGCTTTTCAAGGAGCCTCCTGCAGTGTGTAAATGTTCTCCTCTTCCCATTATGAGAATTCCAGGTTCAGTTAATGCTGATTTCAACTAACAGTAGAGAATGAAGTCTTCACTTCTTACTAAAATATTGACCATATGTATCTGAAGAGTAGATTAAAAGAAAATAATGTAAACTAACATTAATAATTTCATTTTCTGACAAGCTGAATTCCATCTTCTGTATCCATAGCAAAATGGAGAAATATTTTCTGCATCAAATATTTCTCCTCCAATAAACATGAGGATTCAATCCATATAAATGCTTTGTGTATTCAGTGATACCAGGAAAAATACATTTGACTGTGAGAGAAGGATTTTCTGTTGGCTTTTATTCAGGTTGGTTTGCTCCCTGGCGGAATTTACCTGCTTTTCCTTCTCAGAGGTCAGCTCATTTCCCTGTCTCTTCTATCTCTTCAGTTGTGTGAGCTCATTGGCTGGAGTTTGCATCTTATTAAAATGAATTTTTAAGTAATAAAGAAAGTTATTTTCATGGCAGCAGGTTTGGGCTTTTGGTTGGTTTGTGGGCTCTTTGGTTGGTTGTTTGGTTTGGGGTTTTTTTAAGAAGGGTCTTTTAATCCCTATTTGATAAGCACACACTGGCAAAATTAAAAACATTTGTGTAATAATCAACCGATATAATTATAGATCATTTTACCCCACAGGTAGGTCTATAATTTTTTTTATCAAGTTATGCATATATTAAGTGTTATCTGAACCAAAGCTGGTACTAATTGAAATGATGCATGATTACAGCATAATTTAAAATCTCTTCAGATTTCAGAATTGGGTTTAACCTAGCAGAAGACTTTGTTGCTGTTATTATTTTAGAATCAAATTAATTGAGCTCTTTTAAATTCTGCATTTGATTTCTACTCATTTTATCTGCCTATGCAGACTCTTTTGCAGACTGCCTTTTCCACTGGCTGGCCCCATTCAAGCCTATTCAATGGCCAGTAAGGAAAAGTGAAGCAAATCTCATAACAATGCAGGTTACTACTTCTGCTTCGATTTTATACAACTATTGTTTTAAGGCATCACCAAGGAGAATAACAAAAAAGTTCACATTAGCTTCTATGATAAAGTGAACATTTTTTCTATGCTGATCACATATAAATAGCCTCAACTTCTGTAATTTAGATTGAAAAATACTGAAACTCATTGCCATGATATATCCAAGCAGAAGCAATGACAGATCCAACTTGATTTGCTGGAAACAAAAACATTTAATCCAGCACTTTTCCTGAGAAAAATTTGTAAACTTTTTCAAATAACCTTGATTAAATATTTTCAAAAGTTTCTTTAGGCTCCTTTCTATTACACAATTACATCATTGTTCCCTTTTTATTACTGAGACTGCTATGCAGGAGCAGTCCACTGTTTTACCACTTGGTGGTGCCAAGTGTTTTACACAATCAAAGCTAAAAACACTTTAAAACAAACTCATCTTCTGAAAAGGCGTTTAAGTAGGAGATTGAATTGTATTTGCTGTTCATGGGAAACATACATTTATCATTTGGTATCAGGGCTATTTGAAGGTTAGGCATTATCATTCACTTACTGTAACTTCAGCACTGAAAATGGTTTTTAAATGCAGATATCTTGTGTATATCTTGTGTGTGTATATCTTAAATATCAGCACAATCTGCCAGTGACTCTGTGATGTCAAGCTAGCTGGTGTTTATATCCTCTAGGTGAGGACAACCAGGCATGTACAGATCTCCAGCGTGCTCCTTTTTCCCATACACATCCCTGAAGGTGTGTCTGCTCCACAGTCACCTCCTTTTGCAAATCTCCCTCATGTCCTCACCATTTGCGACACTCTCATTTGTATTTGAGTCCAGGATAAAATTAGCTGAGCAGGTTGACTCAGCAGTGAAATGTGACTGACTCATAGTGCTTGGCACAGCATCACCATGAGCAGAATTTGGCAAGAGCAAGCACAAGATTGTTCAGGGGACTCTTAGCTTTGGTTAACACAGAGAATTTAGGTAGGATTGATTTGATATTTAGGACAGTGAGCTATGATAATGCTTAGCAGCAATTCAGCATCAGAAGAGGAAAAATAATTAGAAGGGATATGGGTGGAGATTTGTGCTTGCTCCTTAGGACTTGGGAGTAGTAAAAACAGTGGAATAAGAGAAGGCACTTGTACGTACTTGTGCCAAGGAGGCTGCAGGCAGAATTTACAGGCAAGTTGACATTTTGGTGTAGTGTGGCTGACTTTGGAGAAGTTACAGGAAGGAGGCTGCCCAGGCGCTGATACTTCTAACCTTTTGCACATAGCATTCTTTAGGGCATAGAGGGAAGATCTCCACTGGCTTGCTCTTCTTCAGGATGGACATGAACAACATGCTGTACGTTTACAAACTCCTCTTGAATACTCATTTCCCTAAGGGAAATGAAGCTAATTATGAAGTTGCAGCAAGCATTCTGTGCAGATTTTCTTTTACAGCCCACAGGGATGGGTTGTATGCTTATAGGGGCTATATGCTTAACAAGGTCTGTGGGTTCCCTCTGAGTATGAAAGAGGGAGAAAATTGTGCATCACGACAGATTTGCAAAGGGAAACTGAAAAGACTGATAAATGCAGAATGGAAAAGTGTAAGGAGGGAAACAGCAGAAGGCAGCTGTCTCAAGGACACCTTGAAGATGTTAGGAAGCCATTTAGCTGCAAGAGAGTTACACCCAGGTGCATGCTGAGGTGTTGAGTGGGTGCCATTCCATGCGCTTGGGCAATTACTGCCAGTCCTGTGAAAGATGCTGTGTGACTTACTGCAGTCGGGCAAAGGGATTTAGCTACACTTTGTGACATCTGTGCTATAGTAGAAGTGTCTCTGCAATCATCTTCACTCCTGCTTAATTTCTGATCTCCTGATCAGCTTCTGATCAGAGTGAGATGCTGGTCTCAGAAGCGATGTTCAAAAATGCCAAAAACTTAGACAATTTCTAGAGTATTTGCAGAAGGCGTTTGTATAATGTCATTACTATTATGCATGGCATCTATCTGCTACTTTTGTAATTTTAAATTGATTCACAAAAGGCCAATTGAATCACGTTAAACAGCGCCTGTCCTCAGCCAGTGCTCCAACCTAAGAACTTGAATGCACAAGCTTGTTAGAGCACAATTAGAATCAAATTGTGAAATCACACATCTGCCTCTCCAGTGCCAACATGCTCACAAAGCACTTTTCAAGGCAGGTTTTTCCTGGAAAACAGTTCATGCTTCCAGCTGCTCAGTTCCAGTTTTCCATCTGTTGTGCTGAAAAGAGCACATAGTAATTAAAAGTTCAATTCACACTATTCTATTGAAAGAACATTTCTGTCTGCTCTGTGGCAAGACCTCAGCTGTTTCTGCTCCTCTTTCCAATTCTCACTTTTAGCACCCACCCGTTTAGCTGGGATGGGCTCCTGGTTTCAGCCTAGCTCTCCTTACATGCCCTGACATGTAAAAGTGCCTTCCCAGCTAATAAACAGATATGTCCTAACCTTAGGTCACCTATGGTGGGAAGGATTTACTAGCATGCATTGCCACACCACAGTTGCACATAGAGTTCAATACAGCATTGCTGCCAGTGCTGCCGCTTAAATGTGCGTGAGAATTAATGCATGACCCTACTGCAATAAGATGAACATGATTAAAAGTCAGTAGTACTTAACAGGATTTTAGAGATACATATATAAAATGCACATAGCAACATATACTTTAATATGATAACTGAAACTGCAATTTGTAATAATGAATGTGTTTCTGTATATGTACATATATATATAAATAAAAGCTAGTGGGAAAAAGAATAGTATTTGATTATTGTACTGTTTTACATAACCATCCAATGAAACAAACCCCTCAATTTAAAATCTTGGCTATACATATATGTCCTCAATGTCAGTAAGCAGGATGAATTTTTTTCTGATGAGTTAACTTACTAGTGTGGGTGGAGAAAATGACAGGCAAGGAATTTTCCTTCTGGAAAAAAGTCTGCCCTTTAGTTCTCAAGGTGCATAAGAAGTCAGTGGATGGGTGAAAGAGGAACATTTTGAGTCATTTAACAAGTGGGGTTTGAAAACTAGTTAAATAGAGAAGAATACCAGAACTGTGAAAGAGGCCTGGGAAGGACCCAATCCCTTTCCCAGCTGGGCATATATAAGCAATTTACTTCTTGGCATTTAGAGGGAAGATTCTTTTCTCCTACCAGAATATTTAGCTTCTGCCTGGTGCATAGTTTCTTGCAACTCTTTTGGAAGCAATAATCAAGAGGGCTCTTTGCTGCTGGAGATGCTAGACTAAAATAGAAAGTAACTGCTATAATTAGAGCTATTCCTCAGATTATTTTATTGAAGATACAGGACATATCTATATATAGGCTTACAAAGTGAAAGAAAATCTATATTTGAGGAAACATGGAGTAATAAATAATCTAAAAAAAGGACAGAAAATTGCATCAGAACTAAATTTATTTTCCAGAAGGAGAAAAAAAGTTAATCAGGAAGAAATTGAAACAATCTCCTAGGTTCTAGAGTCTCTTCACCCTGTCTGGCAACCTACCCAGATCTCAAGTCAGTACAGACTAACTAGGACTCAGGAATGAGACCTTGGTGTTTGAGAGGGACTTTCACAGAACTTTCACTTCCTTACTCAGTAGCAGTCAAAAAGAAAATCATGAATGAAAAATGAGAAAGCTTTTATAAGAGTCCATAATTTCTCAGCTATTCAGGACCTTGTGTGTGTCCCATCTACATTCTGTACTGTACTACCTGTCTCAAAAAAAAAGTAGAACTGGAAAAGGAGCAGAGAACAGCAATAAGAACATTCAAAGTATTGGGAGCATTTCTGCTGTGTGAGCAGCTCACAGGCTAAGGCACTTTAGCTTGGAAGAGGATGTTGGGTGATGGAGAACAGGGAGAATTTTACATGATGTTATATGGAGCAGGGGCACGCAAGTCTCACAACATGGAGGCAGTGGGCAGGGGCTGACAGTTCACTGTCTCTTCCTATACAGTGCATATTGGATTCTAGTGGCAATTCCAAATTTAATAAAATACTGACTAACTTAGCACCTGCCTTGCTGTGGAACATTGTGATTAATAAAAATCTGCACTTGTTTAAAAGTGATTGGGAAATTTTATTCAAAAATACCTGTAAGGCCAACAAAACACAAAAAATACCACTTCTTCCCCAGCAGATCCTGCAGAGCCTCCAAGAGTGCTTAAAAAGTCCTGACACTATTCAAGTTGTGTGTTATCAGATGTTGGCTGATCCAGTACAGCTGCTGTCACAAGTTCCCACGGACCAGGTATTGATTCAGGAAAACTGTTGTGAGCTACTAGGAGAACATTACAGTGAGGGATCAGAAATCTGCCTCAGAGTTGCTGTTCCCACACTGTTCTTTGTGCTGTCCTAATGTTCACAGTCTGCTGTGAAATATGTGACACTTCCAACTGAAAGGTAGAAAGGGACCGAAAATCTGTTAGAGAAGTGACATGCTAGAGACCAAGAATTGGAAGCAAAGATGTTGCCCTCTGGTAGCAAAACAGAGGATATTTATGATCAGTGGAGAGATCAGTTTACTAAAATGTAAGTGGTCTGTCAAATTGTGAGTGTGGGAGAGAGAGATAATGAAAAAATGCATTTGTGAGGCTGAATAAAGTATTTATCATCTACAATCTCAGTCTGGCTATTAACACATTCTATTTTTTTTTTCTGCTGAATACTTTTCTGCTGAAAACCACACTCCTTTTGCTTTAGTTTCAAATGGAAGTTGTGAGTTTGAGATCATAGGGCCTAGATGAAAATATTTAGTGTTTTATGAAGAAAGTTTCATTAACCTCATTAACTGAATGTTTCCATGCAAGAAGTCAGCCATCTGCCTTATTGTCTCTCAGGTCAATCTAGCAATAATCTTAAAAATTATGTAAAAGTGATTAAAAATGCATTCAGATATAAATTTGCACACTCGGTGTCTTATAGCATTCCACAAGGTCAACATCAAACTGCTGTCTCCTTGCTGAAAGCAGTAGGTCCAGACATGCTAAAACTTCAAATTGTGAGTATGGAACATTGGTCTCAGCCTCTGTAATACCTGCAATAATGTTTCAACTAAATTAGTTCTAGCTTGATAGATTGATAAAGCATGACACACAAATATTGCTCTTTGTGAGGAGTATCATTTACCTAAAAATATAATTTTAGACATAACATCTGAACATATTAGTCTAAAAAAACACCTGTCTGCCAAGAAGACAATTTTTTAGAATAGATTGATGTGTAATTTGCTTTCTTACCTTTTAGAAATGCTGGGCCATTTTCAGCTGGCTTTGACTGTTATGCTTGTCTATTCCTAGTTGCTGCTACACAATTCCTGTCTTAAAACCTTTCCTGGCTTCTAGTAGTCCCTCTAGAAAGATCCTGATTATTCAGGGTGAATTGGATTGGGACTCATTTACATTCCATGGCAGGTAAGGCTAACTACTTCAACTACTTTTGAACTCATTAACAATAAAATGGAGAGTATGCATGAGGCTAAACTCTATTTTGAAAATTTAAGAATAGCCCATTATTTTGCAAAAATCTTTCAAAGATGTGTGCTTCTACCATCCACTTTCAAGCAGTTCCTTGCCCTTTGATCCAGAAGTTTGGGCAGCATTATTGAAACACATAAGGCTGATCCTAGGCTCCCAAGTACATGGCATTTTTCCAGAAATACCTTGCATTCATCAAATCCACTGAGGTTGGTCATATAGTGACCCTACCCCATTTCAATGGCTTTCTGAACAACACTCTAGTCACTATGTGTAGTCCAACTCAGTTCAACAATATTCTTCAGTAAAATCACTGCATATTTGCCTTTTCCTTACATGAAACATGACTCATAAAAATACCTTCATTTGATTTATAATAATGAATATGCTTGATGCACTGTTCTTCCCCAAGGTAATTTTTAACTTTTGCTAACTCCTGCCCAAATTCCTTAAATGCCTGGTCACAGAAGAGCATGTCCTACAATATTACTTAAACATGAGGTAAACCACTAACAGACAATAAATGTAATCTCTTAACCCAGTTGATCATGTCCTTTTTCTGGCATGGTGGGCTGTCAATAAATGAGCAGGTATGAATGTGAGAGATGTAGCAAAAGGAAGTGCTTTGTCTCCTAAGGCTTCATATATTTGCCAATATAACCAGACTGAATAAGAAAGTTTTCCTGCTTTATATCAAACTATATATGGAATATATAATAATAATAATATATTTATATGGAATTTGTAGAATAATGTACCTATGTGCAGAAAAAGGGCTTTGAAAATGAACTCTTCCCTTACTAGCTTTATCTGTCTAGGTAAGGAGACTGACTTTGGTGAACTGCATGGCCTAAACAAAATGATAGTGAATGATAAAATCACACAGTTAAGCTTAGCAGACGTGCAGTAACTTGAAACCATTTCAACAAGTTCTTAGAATTCAACACCCTTTTAAAGCAGCTTTTTTTACTATTAAAAAATATCCAAAACCTCACAACTCTGAAATACTTTAGGCCAGACCATTTACAGAATAAATCTAACCAACAAAACAGTAGATTCATGGCTTTTTTTATTCTGTACAACTGTGATCATTTAAAGTTAAGTTTGCTAAGTAAATTTTCCACATTTTTAAAAATGTAAAAATAAATAAATTTTCTTTAATTGAATAAAAAATGAAAACAAATATTATTTCTTTTTATTAGCAGTTTTTGATATCCTTCCCTAGCAATTGTTTGGCTGGTGGCACACACAGCACCAGAAGGAGATTCAAAAATTCCAGTTACAGGACAGTTTTGCTGGAGATTCATTGTAGATTCAGACTCAAAACTTGAAGAAATAAATAGTCTCCATAGCCAGGAAATATCTGGTCATAATATCAGCATCAGTACTTCTATCAATACTTTTTCATTTCTATTCCTAGCTCCAGAATTTGTTCTGTTTGTCCATGTACCTCTTCTCATCTTTATACTCTTTCATACCCACTGCATGTAGCATTGTCCAACATACAGCTCACTCACTTTCCATGATCTAATTACTTTTGTTGTGCTTTAAAACTAATGTTCAAACAATGAAACCTCACATTGAAATTAAAGGGAAAATCTTATGTGTCTGCATGTATGGAAATCTCCATTTTTTTCCTGAGATTCTAAAGAAATGAGGCTTAGAACACTACATTGTGTGTTGGCCTACAGTAACCATGCTCAAATAGGATTTCTGGAAATCAGTACCTGGAGAAAGGCCACTGAAGTAGAAGTGCTTCAGTTGGGAAAAAGAGTGAAGCACCCAGTCACCACTTCCTGATGGGCCCCCCCGCCTGCCCGACAGCTCCTGAAAATTGGTCTGGCAACCATCGCAGTTCCAGTAGATGATCAACCGGCACCTACGTGCTTGGGAAAAAGGTAGAGCATGTGATAATTCTGCTTGGATAGAGATGGGGAGAAGGCACTGTGTGAGATTTTAGGGAACACTGGGCAGAACCAGTGAAATTTAACAGGAAGAGGTAAGTTCATATAGGCTGTATGAAGTGAAGACAGGTTGTAATAGAGGAGCACAGAAAAGGAATTCACAAGGAAACAGACTTTTAGCTTTCCTATTCATAGAATAGCTAATTTTAAATATGGTATGCCTAACAAACCTAGTAGCCAGCAGAAACAATGACAGGACTCTGCTTTTAATCCCTGAGCTGTATAAAAGTTTTTGGGTACATCAGTCTAATAAGGTCAGTCTCTAACCTAAACAATGCACATTTCTCATCAGATGTGCCTTCATGTCAGCAGTTTTCCTTTATCTGCTAATCCTTTTTTGCTGTCCTTTTTACTACTGAGAAAACTTTTCTTAGTTCTTGTTTCACTTTTTAATATACACAAGTTCAAATCAACAACCATCTTCCAGGACCTTGTTCTTATCTTAAAGGAGGTAGACAATCATTATATAAAAAGGCAATTACTAAAGCAAAGAAATACATTTGCACATTGGAATGCAGATAATCCAGTGCCAAAGAATGCCATTGAGATAAGCAAATTAGCAAAAGAGTAATAATAAAAAAGCCCTAGAGGTGCACTTGAACAATAAAACAGGCAGGTAAATTATTTTACTGCAGTTCTTTTGTTATGCAGTGTGACAAACCAGCAAGGAATGAATAATGCTGTTGGCTTGCTGTTATTATCTACCCACAGATGAGAATAACATCAGAATAACAGAGTGGGTCATGTTGGAAGGGACCACAATGGATCATCTGGTCCAACCTCTCTGCTAAAGCAGGATTGTGGTCTGATGGTTCTTGAACCTCTCCAGTGGAGGAGACTTCACAACCAACATCACTTTTGGCCAAGCTGTTCCAGTGCACGGCCACCTGCACAGTGAAGAAATTCTTCCTCATATTCAAGTGCAAGTTCCTATGAATCTGTTTTTGACTGTTACCTCTTGTCCCATTGCTTGGCACCACCAAGAGCTTGGTTCCATTCTCTTGGCCCGCTCCCTTCAGATACTGACAGACACTGTTGAGGTCCCCTCTTCTCAATTGTCCCTTCTTGAGGCTGAACAGTTCCCAGTTCCCTCAGCCTGTCCTTATGAGAGAGATGCTCCAGTCCCTAAATCCCCTTTGCAGCCCTCTGTTTGACCTGCTGCAGGAGCTCCAGCTCCTCAGCTTCTGCTGAGGAGGCCAGAACTGCATCAAGTGGCCTCACCAGGGCTGAATAGAGGGGGAGGATCATCTCCCTCAACCTGCTGGGAATGCTCTGCTCAATGCACCCCAGGATACAATGACCACGTGGGAACAGTGCTGGCTCATGGGCAGCTTGTTGTCCACCAGGTCCTTCTTTGCAGAGCTGCTTTCCCCTCAGGTCAGCCCCCAGCCTGAACAGGTGTCTGGGCTTCTTCCTCCCCAGGTGCAGCACCCTGCATTCACCTTTGTTGAATTTCAGATGGTTTAAAAAAAAAAAAAATACTTTTTTTTTTTATATATATATATATATTTATATATATATATATATATATACACACACACATATATATATATATATACACCCATATATATACACATACATATATATATATATTTTAACAATTTATGTTATAATATATATAATTTTACATATTATTACATTATAACATAAATTGTTACATATTACGTACTTTAAAGAAGAGCACAAAAGTTTTCATACCATATGCATACACATAATAAACTGAAATATGTAAATGTATTTTTCTAAATTCTGCGTCTTAACATGGGAAATATTTGTTTCCTGAATTTACAGTAGGCAGAGAAACTCTGTGCCGAAGGATGTTGATAGGTCTATGAAAAGATGATAGTTAAAAAAACTGTACTTAGTAATGTTACCTTTATGTACATTGACAGGACTGGCTCCTGCGAGGTCTTCCATTAGCAGAACTGGGATGTGCAGGGCTCTGTTATGACCTGGCTGGACCTGTGGCTCAGGAGAGCCAGCACCCTACACACCAAATCCAGGGCCCTGGGAGCTGCTGAAGTTCCCATGCACACACCCCACACTTACCCCTCAAAGAGCTGGAGAAAATGGCAACTCAGGACAGGCTGCCACCAAAGCAACGACGACAGCTCCCATTCGGCCACTTTTTCCTGAGGGGAACTCATCTGACAGGCTGTCAGGTGAATGATCAGAGGCAGCTGCTCCATGTATCCACCATCAGGCTGACAAGGGGACCCCACAAAGGTTGGTTTTTATCAAGTACAATACTGACAGCCATGTTTAGTCCTTGAATGCTCCTTTGTGGGAGAGGAAAAGTCAGCCTTTGTCTCTCTTGTCTCCTTTTACTGCTACAGGAGAGATAACATCGCTACAATCATCTCTAAGGTTCAAAGCCATTAAAGAGCTAACTCAAGATTACAATACATAAAAAATGATAGCTAAATGGAGAGTCAATGTTGCCTGAAATCTAAGTAATCTGTTTGTTAAAAATAGCATCACAAGGGGAGTGGTGACATAGAGTGCTTGTTGTAAAGGAATTTGAAAAAAAGGCAACAACAGACACAGAAGGTCTGAAACACTGAAGGCATTATTGAAAAGCTCTGTTGAATTAAAATTTGTTTGATTTGGCAAAGGTTTGTCACTAAGCCATTTAGTATTAGCTCTGACTTGTCCCATCACCTCATAAAAGTCAAATGAAATCAAAATGAAGCCATGTATTTGAAAGTATTTTTAACAAATAACAAATATATGATCAAATTAAAGGTAAAAATAGACATGGTTTGAAAAGAAAAACATTAAAAGTAAGAAGCAGGGAGAGCTGTGGAGAGATGCCTGGAGAAGGCTGGGACAGAGGGAGACAGGTGCCACACCATACTGCTGCTGCAGATGTGTCCTTCCCACCACTCCCAGACATCATTTCCTGCTCCATGGAGTGTTCTGGGGTGATGTACCAATGACTGGTGCCTGCCATTGCTGCTAGTCGACAAGGTATGAGTTAAAAGAAGAGAATCTACAAGGCAGTTCTTAGGAGGAACGGGCTGGAGGTCAGGGACATGAACTGGCCACGCTCCTGCCCCAGGGGGTGAAGGCAGCAAAGGCTGCCAGTCCCGAGCACTGGAATGATGCTTTATCCATCAGACTCTGCTGTTGGGAGTGTGACTTGGGAAGTCCTGCATCATGGGGATCATCAAAACCCTCTCTCAGCTGGCTTCAGCCTCAGGGAAGGGCGATCCCCCATCAGCCAGAAGGTGCATACAGATTCCTTCACAAAAACCAAACAAAAAATCACCCCAGCCCCACAGTCCCCTCATCCCCCAAAAACCCCAACAGAAAAAAAAAAAAAAAACAAACCAAAACCAGTCACCAAAAACAGGCTCACAGGTAATGTTTTAGATGCATCATGCACGTGCTAAACAAAAAATAAAAAAAAAAAAAAATCAAAGCGAGCAGTGTAAAATTATCAGGCAGGGGAATCTTTAGAGTCCCATTTAATCACAGAGTGCTGCTTTCCTGCCCCTGTAATTTTATTTTGATTTGCTGCACTTTTTCTCTTACCTGCTTGGAGTTTTGAGAGACTACCCAACAGTTCTTTAGCATAAAAGAGAGCAAAACAGGAAACATAATTTACAAAATAAAATGGGATTGATAAAATAAAAGGCAGACAAAAGTGGGTAAAGGACACCTAGTATGGCATGTCATTTAGAAATAAATATTTCTAGAGAAGTAGTGCTATTTATTTATGTGCAAATTGGTCAAGGAGTCAAGGTCTGGGTCAGCATAGAACACAGATTTGGATGCATACAACACTCCTAGAAGATCACAAAAACATGTGTTAGATTCAGATTATTTCAGTATTCCAGTAAGGGAGGTATTAAGGAAGAGGAAAACAGCCTGGGAAAGGATGAGATAATCATGAATATATCCCAGAAAGTAAGAGGACAAGCTAGGTGGAAATTAAGTTGGGGCAAGAACATTGCTCAGAACAGGTAGAAAAAAATTAGCTGGTAGTGAGAACACAACACAAAGGGGACACATTTGCAGCACTTCACAACTTTGCATACCCCTATCTTACCTACCAGCATCTCATCCATGGTAGAATGTTTTCTGTGGTCAAGTAGGATGGAAGAGGCCATATCCTCCCATTCTCATTGGATCACTGCTGGGATCCACTATGACATTATCCCTACCTAGGGAATTCTAATTAAAAGAAAATTACCTAAAAATACTGGGACAGAGAAATGCTTCAGGGAACCCAATAGTCTCTCTGACAGTAAATAAAACCAGGGATCTGGGGGAGAATGCAAAATACTGAAAACAAATACTACCATCTACTACTGTTCAGGCTTCCGAAGATTTTTGACTCAAAGGACTTTCTGAGCCAAACTTGTTATTCTATACATTAAGTGACTTGCCACCACTTTCTCTCCTGTAATTGCTCCAGTTTTCCTGTAAATGCTCTCAGCATTTACAATATCCTTTGGCAGGAGACTTCACCAGTCTTTCATTGTTTCATTAAGATTCACCCTTCTTTTTTGTTACAGATCCCATCTGATGACTGTTTTGTCTTTCCTGTATCACTTAGAGGCCTTTGCTACAAGCCCAATAACCAATATCCATCAGTCATGTTATTTTATGCAAAGAACCTATCTACCTCTATTTTGTTGTTGTCCAAATCCCATTTATTTGATTTAACTCTCATCTCTTCACTCCCAGGTAACTCAAAATTGTTTATTACATAATTGCTTACCTTTTTCTTTAGATAATTTGCAAATATGGTCAAGAGCAGAGCCAAATAAAAATCTCTGCAGAATTCAAGTAGCATCCTCCCTTCATGGCACAAGCTATTTACTACAATCAATTTGTATGTTCTGACCATACTACGCCCACCTTGTCCATGTGAGATCTTCCTTCTCAGCCCATGTCTAGGTTTAATTTGAAACTGTTGCAAGGAATTACAGAACTTGCTGACCTGCCAATAAACTTTGTGGTTGACAAGACAGGACTCCTTCATAAAAGCTGTATTGACCTTTTAGAAGGATTTACAGGTTTACATGGTTGCTAATTTTAATTCAGTATTTCACATATCCCACAGTGATTCATTTCACTGCTCAAGCCAAACTACTAAGCAAATCATGAAAACCCTCAAAAGCACCAAATGTCAATCAGCTGATTGAAGAGGAGCATCTAGAGATTACAATTCTGTATCTGTGATCTCTGTGGAGCACATTACTCCTATTTACTTGGGGAAATACCATGCTTATAATCAAAGTCTGCTGTCTGTCCTTTGTCAAACAGTTTGAGATTGCAAGTGAGAAGTTAGTTTAGCTTCAGTTTCAGCTCTAGGGCTATTGATTTCTTTGGCTTGCGGATTATCCTTCCATTGCTGCACACTGCACGCTACAATTCCTGCAGATAAGGAGCCTCTGCTATGATGTCCTTGGCATTTTGTTGCAAATCCTGTTTTAGAGGGGCCTGGGGAGAGGGCTCAAAAGCTTTTTCTCCACGAGTGGGACAAAGCATAGGCCTCAAGATTTTTCCTGAGTATTTCTCAGCAGGGAATTGGTTTTCAGCTTTATTTCCTACAGAAACAAAGTGTAGGTAATGGTGATACCTTGTGTGCCTGTTCATGAATGTGCAAAAATCCCCAACACATCAGAAAACACACTCCATCAATACTGACAGCTCACCTAGTAAGGAAACTGAACACAGTTCCTTTCCAGAGAGAAGAGGCAACTGCATCAATTGATTGGTTACCAATTTCAAATTTACAGCTACAGTCTGCTTTCTCTGAAACCCTCTGAAAGTGATAAAGCTTTACAAAGTAGTCATAAAAAGGGAATGGGAATATTGGATTCCAGCCATTTTCTCCTCATTTTGTGTTCAGTTATTTTAAGCTAACATTTTAACATTTCATGAGAAGGTAAAATTCTATGTTGTATTTTAGGATGCTTTTAAAAGTGAAAGCAGTAGTCAGAGATGACACCACAAGACAGGGAGTATTTTGTATTAAAATATTCACCACAGTAAACTGGCTTTT